TCATATAGGAGGATTCATATTACATTCCAGTTCAGAACTCTTTTTTTTTTCTTGCTGCTAATAAGATTCGACTGTATATAGTCAATCGAATCACCTAACTTAGCAACAGCTAAAATTTTCGTGCCATAAAAAATATTTACTTTAATTTTAATTCCTAAAAGTGAAATCAACCAAGAATTGAGCCCTTTATTTTGATCCTCAGAAAGCCTTTTGTTGTGTTCTACCATGTTGATGATTTCGATCGCATGACTTTTAATTCCGATGTCATTGTTTAGAGCTGACTCAGTTCGATTATTTATCATTCACATAATCGTATCGATCTTCGCCCCCGCTTACCTGGCAGAAAACAAGGAAAAAAGGGTGTATCAGCAGATGGCAAGAAGGGAAAACTATTCTCTGTAAAAGAGTGCGGAGTGGGGGAGATTTAGGTCAAGGAAAGTTCAATAATCTTCTGTTTTTGACTTAATTTTATGTCACAATGATAAGACCCAAAGCAGATCAATTTCTAAGAAATGGAATAAAAAATAATTCTTTGTCTACTGACTACTTATTTTCACAACTTCTTTCTTAATTTTTTCTTCCATGTAACTTTTTTTGGCATTTCTTTCTTTCTTTCTTTCTTTCTTTCTTTCTTTCTTTTCTTTCTTTCTTTTTTATACCCTTCTTTCTTCTTTCTTTCTTTTTCTTTCAAACATTTTTCTTTCTTTCTTTCTTTCTTTCTTTCAATTATTTTATTTTTCCTTAATAATCTTCTTTCTTCTTTCCACGTTCTTTCTTTCTTTCTTTCTTTCTTTCTTTCTTTCTTTCTTTCTTTCTTAATAACCTTCCTTCTTTTCTTTAACATTTTTTTCTTAATAACCTTCTCTCTTATTTCTTTCTTTTTCTTTCTTTCTTTTCTTCTTACAAACATTTCTTTTTCTTTCTTTTTCCTTCCTTCACTTATTTTATTTTTTTCTTAAAAACCTTCTTTTTTCTTTCCGCGTTGTTTGTTTGTTTCTTTCTTTCTTAATAGTCTAGTTATTTTTTTCCTTTCTTCTTGCAAGTATCTTTTTCTTTTTTCTCAATAACTTACTTTTTTGTTCACCTGTTTAACTTCTTTCTTTCTTTCAAGAATTTTCTTTCTCTTTTTGTTCCTTTCTTAATAACCTTCCTTCTTTTCTTTTTCTTTTTAAAATCTCTCTTTTATCATTTTAATCTTTTTCCGTTATCCTTTCCTCACTTGCACTTTCTTTTTAAAATTCTTTTCTTTCTAGCGTTCATTCTTACTTTCATGTTTTCTCCCTTTTCTTCTTTCTTCCTTTTCTTCTTTCTTTTTTCTTCTTACTTCCTTTTCTTCTTTCTTTTTTGATGTTCTTTATTCTTTTTTTCTTTCTTTTTCATTTTTCTCTTTTTTAATTAAAAAAATTATCCCATCATTTTATAATCAGACATTATTTTCATTTTTCACATTAGGTAAGACTTATAGGCTTCCATCTTTCTCTCCCTCTCTCTGTTACTTCCGTTTTATCTCTGTGTCACTGCCTCCATTCGCCTTCCCCTATTTCTGTTTCTGTCTCTTTCTTTTTCTGTCTGTCGGGCTGTCTCTCCCTCCTTTAGCCCTGTGTGCCTCTGTTTTTCTCCCGCTATCTGTTGCTATTCCCTTTTCACTGTCTATATCCTTTTTCTCTCACCACGTCTTTACTTCTCCCTCTGTCTTTCTCACTCTCCCAGTTTCTCTCTCTTTCTATTACTTTCTCTGTCTCTCTCTATCTCTCTTCCTCTCATCTTCTCTCTCACCCTCCCAGTCTTGCTCCCTCTCTATTTCTCTTTTTGTCTCTCTGTTTATTTTCTTTTTTTATTCTCTTTCTCCCTCTTTACTTCTCTCTCTGTCTTTCTCACTCTCCCGGTTTCTCTCTCTTTCTGCTTCTTTCTTTGCCTCTCTTTCTCTCAGGCTCCCAGTCTCTCTTCCTCTCAACTTCTCTCTCACCCTCCCAGTCTCTCTCCCTCTACTCCTCTTTTTGCCTCTCACTCACTCTGTTTCTTTTCTTTTTTTATTTCTTTTATTTAATCTTTCCTTAAATCTTTTTATCACTTTTAATTACTTTCCTTAATAAATACTTCGACAAATTTTATTCCCTTTTGTTCCATTACTGGTTCGTGACGACATAAATGAATAAATGTCGTTTTAACAAAATTAGACACTGACTTATCATGAACAACATAGAAAATTAGACAATTTTTTTTATTCACGCAATAAACATTACTTGGTGAAATTGTAGAACTATTGATATTGTAATACATACTTCTGTATCTTTCGATGATGACACAAACATTTCTAAAAAGCCGATAGGTAACTCAGACGTCCATCTTGTTTTATAGTAAAAATACGAATTCTAAAAAATAATGAAATAAAAATAAAGAAAACATGGTCATGCCTGTTAAATAAATAATTTGCTTGGTTTGGTTTGGTTTGTTTTACGGCATATCAACCTCAATGAGTTATTTTAATACCGACAAGATTTTTATTGTTGGTAATATTTTTCAAAAATGGATTGCTGGTAATTTTCTTCAAAATTCATTGCTGCTAATAATTTTTTACAAAAAATGTAGTGCTGGTATTAAAACCTATTTTTACACTTTCATAGAGTTTTGACCCCAGTTTGGCATTAGCTATTTGCCCATAGCTGGGACCCATAACAGGTGCTACCACTCCGGGTTAGTGGATCTGGGAACATTGGCAATTAAGACGTAGTTCCACGGTCCTTAAATCCTCGTGATCAGAGGCCTTGCTGTCGGATGTAGTTTATCGTCTTACCCAAGGCACCTCATTTGCGGGGGCGTCGTACCCCTTTGCAGCGGTGTAGTCGGCTTATTCTCAGGCCCCAGCCGTCTGGGCTGTCTTCGGTTTTGTTTGTTTTGTTTTACGGCCTATCAATTTCAATGGGCAATTTATTTAATGCCGACAAGATTTTTATTGCCGGTAATATTTTTTTTATTTTCAAAAATTTTAGTTAAATTTTTTTCTCTTAGTTTTTAAAGTTGTAAATAGTCTGTCATTTTAATCAAATTGAGAACGTTGTCTAAGTGTAGTTTAGAAAAGAAAAGAAAATAAGAATAAAAAAGTAAAAGAAAAGAAATCAAAGAAACAAGTTATTTTATAATAAAAATAGAGAAAACAAGTCGCAAGACGAGCCAGTATAATAAATCGTTTTTTTTTGTTTTTTTTTTTGTATATATATATGTGTGTATGTGTGTGTGTATGTTTGTATATATATATATATGTATGTGCATATTTATTGGTTTGTTTTCTTCTATTCTTCCAAAAAAAAAAACAACACCCGATCTTGGCCGCATGTCGGAAGATCAATCCAACCATGCATACCTAATTTATAACTTCGAATAGCCCAAGTGAAATCTTGATTGGTTGTTGTCTACTGGGGCAACTTATATAATTCACGTCCTAAAGCTAGTGGCAAATTTTTGTTCTAGGTGCGGGCCGAATACTGATCATATTCGGTCGGGTCGCCCATTGAAGAAGTTTGTTATTTATTTAGACCCGAAACTTCTAGTGACATGGGAGCAACAACACTGACGACGCATCTAGATTCGGCATTTAAAGGTGTATTTTAATAATAATAATTGCTGGTAGATTTTAATTGCTAGTAATATTTTTTTTATTTTCAAAAATTGCTACTAATTGTTTTTTCTTCAAAAAATGTATTGCTGGTAATAATTTTTCCTTCAAAAATTCATTACTAGTAATAATTTTTTACAAAAATGTATTGCTTGTACTAAAACCTATTTTTATACTTTTATAGTGTATTGATCCCAGCTTGGGGTTAACTGTTTGCCTATATAACTGGGACTCAACAGGTGCTACCACCCCGGGTCAGGGTGAACCTGGGAACACCAGAAATGAAGAGGTGGTTCCCTGGTCCTTAAAACTTCGTGATCAAAGGCCTTGCTCTTAGATGAAGTTTATTGTCTTACCAAGGCCGCAAATAATTTGTATTTACAAGCATATGTACATGAATGCAAAAAGAATAAAAATAGTCTTTAGTTGAGTTAAAGTCTTGAGGTAGTTGATTCACCGAAAAAGCTGATAGTTGAGTTCGCAATAAAAAAAAAAAAAAAACAAAAAAAAAAAAACAGTGGTTGAAAAAAGACTTTTATCGTTAGCAAAAATTAACTGACCGTCTTTTTTTTTTTTATTGTTTTTGGAGACGATTCGCTTGAAGTCGCCGACTGGCCGACAGAGAAGATTCACTGACCATCCAAGCTGTTGTAACTGATTAGTTTGAAGTCGCTGATACATAAATAGCCACGTCTTCATAGAGACAGTCGAATCTCTGCTCTTTGAAAGTCAAAATCTGTGGGGTTTTATAAATATTTTTTCCGAAAGAAGGCTTGAGAAAAATAGATTTTTAGTTTTCTCTAACTGGCCAAATATTTCACATGATTATGTTAATTTCTAGCCAATAGATATTTTGGTTTAAACGGTTTGTGTTGTGGAATATTTTTGACATGTTATTGGGTAGAAAATAAGGTTTGGGGCGTGTTTTAATATGGTATATATGTGTGAGTATGTAATTGTGTTGGATATATAGATTATTTCCAATAAGCCATCAATATATTTCTTTTTAAGACGTACTATGAGGCTAGGTTGTTATTTGTTTTGTTTTTGTCTTTTAATTTTTCACCCCAAGCAAAGCCACTTACACCCAGAGTGTTACTTGAGTGTAAAACAATATAAGGAAAACATTATTAAGCAGCGAGAACAATAAAAGAACAGAGATTAAGATAGAAGTTAACGACTGACATTTCATGTAAATTTTTGATGATCCGATCTGGAAGTGAGTTTCACAAGCGAGAAGAAACTGTTAGCATAGAACTTACGGTTGCATCTAGCCAACTCAATTATAAAATGATGAGACCTTACCGCCAATCTAGTACTGCGCTTAAATTGATAGAGTCTAGGTAACATAGTGGAAAGTGAGAACATAGATTTGCCGCTCATGGTTAAATCACCTTGAAACGCCTGTTCCCGTACGATCACCAAAGTTAAGCAACGTTGATCCTTGTCAGTACCTAGCTGGGTAACCTCTTGGGAATTCCAGGTACGGTAAGTTTAGACGTACGTATGGCGTAATGAATAATGGCGCTGAATTGTTAATCAGAGAGATGAGTTCCAATTCCAGTTATAATCGCTTACGCGCAAATACACTTGGGGAAGATACGAATCCACCTTTTCTCCCCCAGATATGGGTTAATTAGTCAAACTTGTATCACTCGGCCATTATTATCTAAAAACATTCTTATAATCATAAATTGTTTTTTGACTTTAAATAACTTACAAAGGGTTGATAAACCGTAGAAAATGAATGAATCAATAAAAAAATTAATCTGAATTAAAAAATGTGTGCGTCCCTGGGTCATTGTCGTTCTAACGAGAACTAAACAACCGTAGATTAAATTTTTCAATGAGAGTCATACTTGTTTAAATGTTCGGCAGGTATCATGTATAGAGAGAGTGTGGGCATAAGAATCAACACTACACGGTGACTGTCTGTTTCACGCCATAAGCAATCTTAAAATCAACTGTCTGTCCTCTTTTTGTGGGTTCTATTTATATTGGTTCGGGAGCTGGGCTATATCGATGATGGCTCGGAATTGTTAATCGGAGAGCTGAGTTCCAATTCCAGTTGGGTTCGTTATATTCACTTACTCGTAAATACCCTTGGGGACGGTATGAATTCACCTTTTCTCTCCAAGCTATGGGTTAATTAGTAAGACCTGTATCATTAAAACCATTATTATTTTTTAAAAAAAGAAATGAAATTGAATACAGAATATTTAGTTTTCGGCATTAAATGACCCATAGAGGTGTTGATATATCGCTAAACAAATACAACCAACCAATATAGATTTGCGTAAGAAAATGTTATATAATGTAAAACATGTAGAGAGAAAAAAAACACAAACAATATTTGTTTGGAGACTGGTTCACCTTTGAACAGTGAGGATCACAAACACTTGAGATTAATTGGAGAGATATAAAACGTTGTTTAATCTTGCTAATTGTGAGATTACTGACCGTAGATCAATTAGCTTTGGATGAGTGTGTAAACAACAGCGACAAAAATATTTTAATTAATTTAGCTTCTTGTAAACAACACGGATGACGTAAGGATACAAATGTCTACAGCCAGGGTTGGGGAGGGGGTTAATGATTTCTTTTTATCAGGTGAATGCCTTTTTTCTTTCGCCTCAGGTGCAAAATATACGCTCTTAAAATGTGTATCAATTGATTTTCGCACTTTTGCATCATGTATTTCTAAAAGACATTTTCATTCTAAGTTGATTCATCTGCAAAATTTTCGCTTACAAATTCGCTATGTTTCCAGATTTTTGCTGACAAACCAAAGGAATTTATAGATTTTCGATGCACATAAATATTTTTGGAAAGGGTTATTTTGTCGGTCCCGGTAAAATAGACAAACATACTTTTAAGCTTATTTTGTTGGTTTCAGTAAAATATACCAAGGGTTATTTTGCCGGTAAATATTTTTAGTATTCTGAAGGCATGTAATGTTAAAAATAACAATACACAGGTTTAACACAGAATAAGGTTATTTATTTTCACCATCAACTGTTAGGACAATTTAAAAAAAAAATCCATCATCAATTTTGAAAACACAAGTTAAATCATTTATTTATCATCAATTATTAAAAGAAGTCTGTGAATATTTTAAGCCCTTCAGGCATAACAGCCTTTGCAAATCCAAAGCTTGCCCTTGAGCATGGTTCTCTTGCCAATACACTTCAGGTGCACCCACTGAAGATAACAGTCACAGACCACAGAATACATGTTGTTCAAGTCATGCCTACACATCTCACACAACCACTGCACTGACAATCTCAACTCTATATCTATAATTCTCAAAATGTGTGTGTGTGTGTGTGTGTGTGTGTGTGTGTGTGTGTATGTGTATGCGCGTGTGTGTGATCGGATGTTTATGCATTTCCACAGTTTTTCGATGATTTTTTTTTTTGGATAGATAATTCTTCAGTGCCGGTTTTGAGTCCAAATTGTTTGCGACAATGGCTCTCCACTACTTCCTGTCCCTTATAACTCTCAGCAACGTTTTACTATTTACTATCTGTTCTTGGATATATATCTTTCATAAAAACTTTAATAAAAATAGTTTAAATTATTACAATGATATTTTTTATTATTATACAGTTCCCTTATCAGAGCCATCCCCATTCAAATTGTTAACACCCCCTCCATTTTGGGATGTGCCTCAGTTGCATCCAATTGTTGTTACTAATATTGATTTTTGGGTGGGCTGACTTTAAGCTTAAACTGCTCCAATTGAACAGCAAAAATTCCCAGTAATGAAAGACCCGGTCAAAAACGGGTTATACAGCTAGTATAATATATTGTTAGTTCTAAAACACTGTTTATATTTAGCGGCAAAATAGCTTTGGTGTCTATTTTACCGGGCCCGGCAAAATAGCTTATTCGAATTTTTTCTACAAATACTTTCTTGTCAATTGTTCTCAGCTATCCTCTCTGTTAGCATGACTCCATGAATGTAAGTGTAGTATTAGATTAACAAAATGGCCTCATCATTCTACTTCTAAAATTGCTAAATGTAACCGTAAGTTCTATTCTAATAGCATTTTCTAACGCTTCTTGCTCTCCTTGGTTCACACATCTCCCCGGTTTTTGAACAGGAGTAGAGGTTTATCCCTTGTTCCTTCTTTAAGATTGGGTCTCCTGTTCCTTCTAAAGTCTTTTCATTCTCTTTTACTCCCAGTAGTCCCTTGCATCTTAGTGGCATTGTCGCCTTGCTTGGGGGTGAATAAATTTTAAAAAATCCAACTACAATCTAAAAGATTTAGTTTAAATGTCAAACTTTGTCCTTTGTCTCTTTGAATCCCGTTCTTTTTATTGTCCTTTCTCCTAGCAAAGTTTTCTTGGTTGCTTTCATTCTCGGTAGCTCCTTTACGTCTTGGTGGCTTTATCACCTTGCTTGTAGGGAATTGATTTTAAAAAATGCAGCGTTTGTAAACTTTGTGTTGTGTACCTGTAAAATCCAAGATACAATACAGGGTGCGATACGTAAATTGTCGCCATTTTATATTTTTAATTTCGAGCATGCGCGTTATTTGTTTTTCATTTTGTCGACTGCACACTATAGTAGGGTCTGTTGGGTACCGTCTATGAGAAAAAGAGCTTCATAATGCAATTAACTCCGCCAGAAATTTGGAAACGGCATGTTGCATTGCTTGGCATTTGTGCCGGAAGCTCCAATACAAACATTTCAGAGTGTTTGGGTGTCAATCTGAGAAAAGTGCAGAGGCTTCTGAAAGAGTTGGATGATATATCCAGTCAGCATTATGGTGTTTAGAGTCATCACTAGTGATGTCGACGTTATGTCTCCATTCATCTTCTCACAAGGCCTCAGACACAATACGGAGGCCTACATTAAGTGCCTTCAGGAGGTAGTGCTACCTTGGGTCAAGAGGGTGGCTGCTGGAGGACCCTATGTCTGGCAACAGGACTCTGCATCAGGCCACACAAGTAGGAGAAACAATGGCTGTCAGAGAATTTCTGCGACCGCATCACCCCTTACATCTGGCCACGTAACTCCCCAGACTTCAACACCCTTGATTATTATGTGTGGGGTGCAATTGGGCGAGAGACCAACTAAATTCCTCGTAACACCAAAGATGAGCTGAAGACAAGGGCATCATTTAGCAATGAGACCGTCTAGAAGAGTTACAGGAGATTCCGAAGTCATCTGGTTGAAGTCAACGGCGATTTTATTGGATAAATTTACTCTTTAGTATTTCAAGATATTTTTGTGTAATTTTGGGAAATATATCTGTTGAAATGGGATGTTATTTTCATTTTTGCGTAATTTAGATGACAATTTATCCATCGCGCCCTGCATAACTTATTTGAAATATTGCCCTTTACATTAATTATACTCGGATTATTGACCTAAACTTTTAATACTTTAAATAGAATTATATTGACAATACTTCATCTTGAAAAAGAGATACAAAATTATCAAAATTAGTATGAACCCATCATGATAACCAAATGTCGAACCTTTTTGACATCAGCTGGAATAAATAAAAAAAAAAACTAGCATCGCAGGTACAAATAATACAATAATCAACAAATAGCTCAGAGCAAACAAACAATGGGCACCTGAAGACGACCCGATTCTACTTGGCTGAAACACTGTCTATAACAACCTCTAGAATAATCAAGAAGATGACAATAGTGTGAATAAAGTATATTAATAATTCCTCATTTCAAAAATGAAATACAAGATTATCAAAAGTAGTATAACCAAATGTCGAAACCATTTTAGATATGCATTTTTTATATATATATATATATATATATATATATATATATATATATGTGTGTATATATATATATATATATATATATATATATATATATATATATATATATATATATATATATATATATATATATATATATATATATATATATATATATATATAGAGAGAGAGAGAGAGAGAGAGAGAGAGAGCTTTTAACTTTAAAAATCAGGAGGTCAGTTGAATCCGCTATCTTGGTCTGAACCTGACGGTACCCTCGGGCGATTTTTTGTCAAACGACCGCCTAACGCTTTTTTTTAGTTTTTCAAAAGAAACTAAATAACGCTACATTATTATTTACAAAAATAAATAAACAAAGAAACGCACGACGTTGGTGTAATAGAAAGGGAGGAGGAGGATATGAATAATAATAATATATATATATATATATATATATATATATATATATATATATATAAAGTGAACATTGAAGTCAACACTTAGACGCGATCGTCAGGCCAATCGGTGACCTGACGATTGCGTATTTGGTTCGACTACACATGCGCACGGACGAGGGATGCTGGGAATTTTAAATTTAAAATCTTTTTTTTTTAAAATCTATCCGATTTCGTTTACATTCTTTTTTTCCATCTCTATTATTAGTAGATATCACACACACACACACACACACACACACACACACACACACACACACACACACACACATATATATATATATATATATATATATATATA